AGCATAACATTTTGGAATCCAGACAGAAAAAGCAAACATTATACAGTTAAGACATCAATTAAATTGAATAGGCCTACACCTGTAATAAATAAGGTGCAACACCAACGATAACTAATTTGTAAATTACTGTGATGTGTTGGTACGTAAAAATGATTCTTGCTGCTACTAAAGGTAAAGAAAAAAGGAAAAGAACCAGTACCGTACCAAAAACCAACGTTTACAGTTAAGAACTGTAGTACAGCCGACCAATTATATGCGTTAATCAAGGTTATTGATCTCTTGGTTTTGGATTTTCTCGTAAAAAGTTATCGGCAATCAAAGTTATTTTCCATTAATTGCTTTATTTGTACACAACTCTTAATGTAAACTTATCGGTGTCAGTTTGAAAAAAACCTTATACAACATAACTTTCTGTTATTTAATAGATCACGTATTCTCTAAACAATGGTTGCTGGTATATATATTAACATTATAAGGAAATGTGACAAAAATCATACAACGTTGGGTTTTTGGACGTTTATAATTTTATTTCTTAAGTACCTAGGTAGGCCGTGTATTCTATGGAAAAGTACCGGTATCAAGGATCGTTGTCGAAAGGGTTGTTATAAATAATTGGGTAAGCATACGTACCACACGTACCCAAGAGAAGGGCTATGGGCCTATTGGCTGTATGGTCCAGCGATTGCATCACACGGTGAGTAGGAACTATTGACTTTATATAGTCAATGGTAGGAACAGACAGTGACACATTGGAAAATCGAGTTCAGCATCATCCGTAAACCTCTGTTACAATCACCCACTGCAGTTGTAATTTTTTGCTTTACACTTTACACAACCGCCATTGAAGAGCCGTCAATGAGTGGAACATTGTTTCTAAGCTATTGGCGACGGTCATTAGTAAATTTAAGTTTCCCAGCCGTATACAACACTGATTCAATCTTGAAATGTCAGGATGAAATGTCTACTAGAGACAGCTGAAATTGGGTTCCAGATTCCAGGAACCAATCAGCATGCGATGACAGATTTCAGTCATCCAAAGGCACTGGACGTGAAAACAAATAAACATCAAAATTGATTCAATCTTGATTCAATGTCTTCTTTCTGGTTATCAAAACTCCAAAACAATTGTATACACATATTTCTGGTTCCTGACCTGGATGATGCCTAGTTATTTAATTTACGGTTACACTTTATTATTCCACTTGCGATTAATTAAATCCTTTATGTAATAAAAACGTTTTTAATCTCACTTGGATGGGATTTGCCTTCAAAACGTGATCGGAAATGGTTGTGGTGTTTGTAAACAACATTTGTAAACATTTCAGCGACAGCTAGAAAAAAATAATCTTGATCCGAACAGCTGTTCGTTGTTTCATAGATGATTATGTGGTACAAATTAGAAGCAAACTTGACAAAAATCGCACAAAACTGCATTTTTGAACGGCCGTAATTTTAATTACAAAGTAGTGAGACCATATTTTAATGGCTAAAGACACTCTCGCCAATCCAGTGAATACATTAAAATGACTTGGGTCTTGATAGGTACTCTCGTTTTCCTGGAGAAGATTGCGTAAAATGCCATCTTGAGTGTGTCAGACAGACAGACAGACAGAAATTTATATGATACTTGTTTCGGCTTCTTTAATGTATAAAACGTAAAAATAACCTAAAAATGTATGATTCTGAGCAATGTACAGACAAAACTCTAATTTTATTTATATAGATATATATACATATATAAAAATTTGAACGAATGGTGTTTTTGGCCTCTGGGGTCATCAAAATTAAAAAGTAAATCGGTCCCGGGTCTAGGTCTTACCGTGCCACCTACGGTAATAGCTACTTCCCTATAGGGAAATTCGCTAAAACAACTAAAAACAATGTAAGCAAAAGGGAAAAAAATTACCGATGAAATTTTGGTTATTTTACAAAAGATCAGACCTTGCATATGTCACACTATTCTTTAAATTTATAGAATGAACAAAAGGTGACAAAAGTAGAATATGGCTGGATCATCTTCAAATGGTCCAAAGTCGTTTGGTCCACAGTTTATATTGCCGTTCGTTTGGTCCAAAATCGTTTGGTCCAACAGTTAAAAACTCGTTCGTTTGGTCCAAAATCGTTTTATCCAATTTCATTTGGTCCAAAGTCGTTTGGTCCACAGTTTATATTGCCGTTCGTTTGGTCCAAAATCGTTTGGTCCAACAGTTAAAAACTCGTTCGTTTGGTCCAAAATCGTTTGGTCCAACAGTTAAAAACACGTTCGTTTGGTCCAAAATCGTTTGGTCCAAAAGTACAGGCCAAACTAGAAGTAAAATGTTGCATTGTAGAGTAAACTTATGAAATATACTGTACGTTTATATTGCCGTTCATTTGGTCCAAAATCGTTTGGTCCAACAGTTGTAAAACAGTTCGTTTGGTCCAAAATCGTTTGGTCCAACACATTAATACGAGTTCGTTTGGTCCAAAGTATAAACTATTGCGTCCCTCACATTGAAGGCGTTCAAATATCCGCCGTCGTATACAATAATAATATTAATACAATTTTTGCTTTAAACATGTTGACTTTCTATGTTTTTAACGTTAAAGACGCCATGTTTTGTTGTATTCAAACCACTAAAGCGTACATAAACAAACTTAAAGCTCAATAGTGTATCATACGGTTGGAAATCTTATAAATTAACAGTTTTTATCACATTTGGCGACCTTCTAATATACAGAGTGTTCAGTGGACCAACGTGTTTTAAATGTTTATCATACACCTTAATTTGTATTGTTGTACCGGTACCTATTTACAATGGAGTGTTTACTATTGATCATGGTTGTCTATAATTCTTAATCAAAAGGTTAAAATAGAACATGAAAATTACATTAATTAGCCTACTCATATTTTCTGGACGTCCACAATTTCCTGGTAAAAATTTTGTCTTACAGAATTATATATAAGGATCTTATTTTCTTATTTTAAAATTGATGTTTTTAATAATGTCATGTTTAGCAATATAACGTTCCATTACGAACAGTTATATAATCTTAATATTACAGTAACTCTTTCAATCATTTCTTATTGCATTATGTTATATCTATTGTACTGGTTGGTGTCTGCCTTTTTGACTACTTTTGCCGATATTTTGTCTTATTATTCAATACTGACAGATCATCACGAGATTATTGTTATACATGTGTATTTAATCATTGGACAATTTCCCATTATGTAATACGATACAGAATAATAAAAGTGCAGAAGGCTTTTACAGTCTATGAAAATGAATGTTAAATAGGCTACTTTTATTTATCATAGACATATCATTAAGGTACATCAATTATAGGTCTACTCTTTGTGATATGCATAATTGTCTGAGACAAACATTCAGGCACGTTGCCCATATTTTTTTAAAAATAATAGTGGTTTTCAGAAACTGGATTAAATTTTTAATAATTTTATGAATAAATGCATGATAAGTTATAGAAAGTTAATCCTAAATTCCAGTTTATTACATACTTTTAGAGAGTTTACTTTGATGCATTCATTCAGCTTAGTGAAAGAATACACAATGGAGTCAGTGAATGTTATTCAACTAAAGATGTGATGGTCGAACAACGGATCTAAACCTCACTATACACAAACAATTCGGAAACACAACAGTGTCATCACATCTCATCGCATTTGCATAATTTTTTACCAAGGCTGGACTAGGTTATGGATTTGGTTCAGCAAATGTTCAAGATTTGTGGTCAAACTTCCTACAATTATGGTTCATTCCATCCACGAAATACATGCACAGCTTTATGTGATCGATATGGCCAAGGCAAAACTACCCCATAAATAAACGAATTATCAAGTAAGACCAGGATGATTAAATACATGGGTCAATATGGCAAGAGAAGGAATAAAACCAACTATCACAATTGCTTATTGGTAATTGATTAGATCGAAGTAAGAATGTTACTGCTTTCTGGAGAATCAGATATTTGTATCAAATAAAAAAAACTAATTTAATATGCTGATAAAATTCTGTATTTTTATGACCAAAGATGAAGATTTACTTATAAATCCGGATACAATCTGAATGATTTTCCTAAAGCAGATGGAATTAGTTGTTAGTAATAAATATTGACTCTTTCCGTAACATGATAGACCAATTATATGAACTCATTCTCCCATATAGTGAAAGTGGCTTTGACATGAAACAAACTCATGAACAAACAATTATAAGACTCCTAAAAAACCTTTTGGGCAACCAGCCGATAAAAAGGTAGGAAATATTGTGTTAAACGAATTCATCAATCACGTTTTTTAGGGAACACAATCGTCACCCTTACTATTGCTTATCCTCCCTTCATTTAACTAAGATTTTAATGACCACTCTATCTATCACAGGAAGCTGAATTTACATAAAACCTCAAGATTAACCGTCGATTTCGACGGGGTTCCACTAGTATATATTATTTAGAAACATATCACAAAACAACAAATAATAGGCCTCGGAAGGCAGGCGGTTGGGTTGACGACGTGACGGCGATTATTTGAACGCCTTCTATGTGAGGGACGCAATAGTTCATACTTTTGGACCAAACGAACTCGTAATAGAGTGTTGAATAAAACGACCCGATCGAATGGTCCACAGTGAAACGTACAGTCTATTTCATAAGTTTACTCCACAATACACAATCGTAATTCTGGTTTTGCCTGTACTTTTGGACCAAACGATTTTGGACCAAACGAACTGTTTTAAAACTTGTGGACCAAACGATTTTGGACCAAACGAACTGTTTTACATCTTGTGGACCAAACGATTTTGGACCAAACGAACTGTTTTACATCTTGTGGACCAAACGATTTTGGACCAAATGAAATACTCCCCAACTGGATCATAAAACGATTTTGGACCAAACGAACTGTTTTAAAACTTGTGGACCAAACGATTTTGGACCAAACGAACTGTTTTACAACTTGTGGACCAAACGATTTTGGACCAAATGAAATACTCCCATATGGCTATATTATATTCAAAGATTTATTGGTATACTAACTATAACTATTTTGACACATTAAAAACAATCAATAAAACTAATAAATACACAGATAATAAATCTATTTTAATCTACATAAAAACGTTAAATATTGTGAAATCCGCTACTAGACTGAATTTAGTACTTCAAGATAAAAAAAATCATTTTTACAATTGAATATTCTCATAACAATAAATCATAGTTGAATGTAAACATTTATGAAGTCCAACCACATACAATTTTTAAACCTTGGTAAGTGTAATGCAGAATTCATTCATGGCTTCTTCAGCAAATTTCTTGTTCCTTTGTATGATCACAGGAGTTGAGATATGGCCGGACAATGTTTGCCCTGCAACATATAACAGAAGGCAACTTGTTATATTATTGTTATTATTAAACTTGTTATATTTCCTGGTTACTCAGAGGCAGAAAGCATGGTTGATACAGATAGAAAAAATAAACTAATAACTTAATTTGTGCTTTGGCATGGTTTTTCGTGTCCCACGAAAGATCAAATTTAATATCGTGAACAATTGTGTGTGTCGTTGTACCTGTTGAGCCCCAGATGTAAAAAAAGAAGCTAACAAAAAATTTATCAAATACAACCACGCCTAAATATTCCTCTCTTACATTTATCCAGTCAAATGAAATAACACCCAATTCACACAGTAACGGACATACAAACATGGCCAATCGATACTGAGCCTGCACACTTCAGTATTATAAAATGTTTATTAGGGCCACTACTGTTGATATATGTATATTGAAGTCCATGTTTAGAGGTATTACTCTTTGGTCTTTGTGTATTCTCTTTTAAGTGTATTTGATTTCCGATTCAGAATAAAAGATGTCGGCTCATCAACTGCAGCCTAAATGTATTTCTGTCGATGTTAATTACAATTTATAATAAATAGTATTGAAACTTAAATTGTATTTTTATTTAAAATATGAAACACGATGTTAATTACAATTTATAATAAATAGTATTGAAACTTAAATTGTGTTTTAATTTAAAATATGAAACATGGTGTCTTATAAGTGGGATACAAATAAATTTAAGTGCGTGAGTAAGAAATTAACATAAAAATGTGTTAAAACAATGAGTGTGTCAGAAGATGAAAACGTGCTTCAACAAACTGAACAAAGGACTGTGTCTAGAAAAACTGAAAATTTCACAATGGTTCCATGCAATCTTCAGAATTTTAATTTCGAGGGCAACTTAGCCGAAAATTGGAAGCACTCGTATCAGAAATTTGAGATTTATCTCTTGGCTTCTAACCTAAATTCTGAAAATGACGCTAGGAAGGTTGCTTTACTACTGCATAATTTGGGTGACAAATGCATAGACATTTTCAATTCATTCAACCTCTCATCCGCAGATGCAAAAAAGTACGTAAGTGGTAAGTAAATTTGAAAACCATTTCTCGCCTAAGAAAAACCTCACGGTTCTGAGACATAAATTTCTTAACAGGAAACAGCTGCCATCTGAATCCATCGATAGTTTCTATACAGACTTAGTTAACTTGAGCCTCGCTTGTGAATTTGACTCTGTCCGCAATAGTCTTGTTTGCGATGTCTTAATATCAGGGCTTAACTCTCAAAACCAGAATGTCAGGGAACAGTTACTGAGAGAACCGGAGATTAACTTGGAGAAGACTTTAGCAATCTGTAAAGCTGCTGAACTGTCTAAACAACACATCAGAGAACTTGAAGCAGAACATAATGTCCATACAGTAAACGTCCATAAGCAACGAGAGAGGGGTTACCAACAACCACAAACGTTCAGACAGAAACAGGTTTATCAGGACCAACGGAACAAATTTCATCCACCATCACAGCAGAAATCAACTGGGACAGGTAGGCCTAACAAGAGTACAAGTGCTAAGAAGTTTATTTTGAACTGCCGTAATTGTGGGAAAAATCACGGTATTAACAAGTGCTCTGCGTATGGCTTAGTGTGCTATAAGTGCGGTAAAAACAACCACTTTACCAGTGTATGCAAATCAGCCAAAAAGGTTTGTGAAGTAGGCCTAAGTTTAGATTCTAATTCGAGAGATGTAGTTATAAGGCAAGGTAGGCAAGACAGTTCTTCTAAAAGTACTTGTGCACAAGAATATTTTTCAATTGATACTGTATCGCTCACGTCTGAATCTATATCTAATTACGTGATTGACAAAAACTTTTTATTCAGTAATATATGTTCAGTTAATGTTTAGTAGAAAACTCAATGGCCTATTGCCACTGTCTAAAAGTAGTCAGCAAGTAACAAAACCTAACAAAATTTTGTCAGACAAGAGAAAAGATTGTATTAAAAAGTACTATGATAGAAATAGCAAAGAGTTACCCTCTTTAAATGTAGGAGACAAAGTGTATTTTAAGAAAACTGTTGATTCACCTTGGACATCAGGAAAAGTAGTAGAAAAAAATAGAATCCCCAGATCCTATGTTTTGTCTGATGAGAAAGATAAAATGTTTGTAAGAAATAGGAAGATGATTAGGCCAGATTTGTCTAATGATGCAGGTAATGAAAACATAATGCCTGAAACAAGTCCTAAGTCAGATTCACAATTTAGTTTGTCAGGTACTAATGGTAATAGCCTTATTTCTCCGCTAAGTAGTCCAGTGTTGTTTCAAAGACCAGTAGGCCTAACTCCTAGAATTTCATCAGAAGAACAAATTGTTAAAAGTTTTGATGGTTGTGTAAGCCGAAAGGGTAGATTGATAAGAAATCCAAAGCGGTTGTCTTATGATTAGGTTTTGGTGTATATTTTGTTAGACTTGAAAAAAAATGTTAAAGTTGTATTTTGGAAAGTTAAAATTTTCAATTTTGTAAAAGAGAGGGGATGTTGATATATGTATAGAGTGAAGTCCATGTTTAGAGGTATTACTCTTTGGTCTTTGTGTATTCTCTTTTAAGTGTATTTGATTTCCGATTCAGAATAAAAGATGTCAGCTCATCAACTGCAGCCTAAATGTATTTCTGTTGATGTTAATTACAATTTATAATAAATAGTATTGAAACTTAAATTGTGTTTTAATTTAAAATATGAAACAACTACTTCTTCAAGCAATTTTCTGTTACGATTATAAAGCACTCACCAACACTTAACTTAGGCCCGGTTTCCCCAACTCATTTAAACTTAGTTTTAAGTTAAACGGCGATTTAAACTTAGTTTAACTTTGATTTGTGTTTCCCCAAATTTAAACTAGGTATTAATCTAAGTTCAAACTAAACCACCTTTTGACTTGGTTTAACTACTGGGGATAAAATAAACTGAGTTCAAATTAGTAAATTACAACAGTAACATAACCTCAAATCAAAACAAAAAGTAGGTGTTAAAACAATAATAATAGAAGCAACTACAAATTCATATGGACGAAAATAGGCTTGGTTTAGGGATACCGGTAGCTTTAAGTTAAGTTTTATTTATATTTTAATTTATTGTTTGGCTGCACTTTACTTGACGTCCTACACTCATTTGAATGAAAATATCGATCGATATATCGATTAATCGATTGCTTCATTCGATATATCGTTTGGTTAGTTAGGTAAGGTTAACCTAACCTAACTAACCAAACGATATATCGAATGAAACAATCGAATGAAAATATCGAATCGAAAAAACAATCGAATGAGTGTAGGACGTCAAGTAAAGTGCAGCCTATTGTTTTTATTAAGTTCTTTTTTTAAGTACATTTGATTCTATTTCAAGTTAGGCTACTATTAATTATTTGCAGTAACTTATTTACCCCCTCAAACGGGAGGGTTAATAGACATTTCCGAAGAAGTAGAAGATGAAGATTATGACACTTTTAGTACCTAGAACGAACAAGAGGGCCTACTAAAATAAAGGACAGAATTTACCATTTCAATAAACGGAATGAATCTGAATTTGACAACAACTTATAATAACTTGATAACATAACCTTAAACAGTGATGTTATTCTAGCTGCATTCGCACTTTGCTGTCTGCTCTACTGACTACTGAGTTGTAGCGTAGCGTTGTGGTGGTTGTAGGAAACACTAGCCCAAAACCCACCGAAGACTCCTTACAAATACACATTCAGGATTGCCAACCGCTCAAATTGACGTTTATCTTAAACGAAGCCAGTAAAATGTTGGAGAAACCGAACACACATTTTAGACGGAGTTTAAAAATAAACTAGTTTATTATAAACGTAGTTTACACCATTTTGGGGAAACCGGGCCTTAATCAACATATAATTTAACAGTTTAAATTGGATACATCCTATCAACAAGGAAATAAATAATATTTTATGTAAAATAAGAGCGAGAAGCGTGCAGAAAAACTTCAGGATTATCAAATAGAAAGAGGGTGTCTAAAGAAAAATAATACATTTAGAGGCATGGTTTTCTCAATTTGTAGTTCCAAAGTTGGCTGGTAAGTTATATAGCATAACAAGATGAATAACAGGGTTTCCGCGCCACAACTGTTGTCATTCTAGTCTGTTGCGACAAACTCTTCGTTATTATTGGTTGTGTTGCGGCAACACTTCAAAAGATCCACTGGACACCGTATATAAAATACCTCTGGCCGCAGCAGACCTGCCGACTAAGCGAATTTCCATTTGTCGGAATTGATTTTCAATTAAATCTATTTACACAATATTAGGTTTAACGAGTAGGCCTACCTAGGTTTGCTGCTACAAGGAAACTGTTAAAGTGGGGTTTTTAGTAAAATATTAATACAGTAGAGTCCCGCAAACTCGGCGTAATGTGGACTGGAGGGGTGCCGAGTTTGTGAAATGCTTGGTTATTGGGAACTAGAGTTAAAAATAAGAACAATACACTTTTAAATCATTTTAGCTGCCTTATATATTTATATTTATATTACAAGTCAGTATTAAGTCATCAGATATCGTACAATAAATCCTTGGTATGAGTTGCGAATGATTTGACTTGAGCACTTTGATTTTGACATTGGTTACAATTTAGACACCAGAAAAGTGAAAGGAATATAATCAAGCTGTCACACCCCAGACATTAAATAAAATATCATCCCAAAAATGTAATTGACGGGGGATGGATCAGGTAAAAAAGAGGAAACTAGTCTACAAAGCTGCATCTGAGACTTGGTATCATATATTTTTTGCTGTCTTTTTATATTGCAGGCTACTATCATACTCGTAATTTTTTTAAGGCAAAAATATAATAATTTAGTATAGATATATTGAAGCGTTGTTGTATACTTTAAAAATGGGATAAGTTAATGGATGCTGAAGTTCCCTCACTCATGCATTAGAGACTTAACTTTCAATCATCTGGCAGTAAATGTATTCATTGGGTATGTTTCTTGAGATAAAAAAAACGCATCACTGACCTTATAATCTCGCAAGCGGCAGGAGGCTCAATAATTTCAATAATTTTCACAGCAAAGCATACACATCAGCGACAGAGATGCAAATGTTGCCATTCTGTTCACTAACACCAATAAGCGATGATCCGCTTTCTTCCAGCATGCACACTAACCAAGTTATGGAACTATACACAAAAAAGGCCCTTACTTAAAAAACGCCTTTGTAACTTATTAACATTACACTACAGGTACCGTAATCTTTATTAGGTTCCCTGCAACAGCGAACTTAAGTAGGGTAGTATAATAAACCTAATTAATGTTATTTAGTAGAGAGTAAATTTGATATTTTTAAGGAAACATTAAAATTAAAATTGAATCAGGCAAGAAGAGTAGCCATGGATTTCATTGAATTTCTGTTAGTTTTTAGTTTGACGATTTTTGGAATTCAATGGAGATAACAAAGTTTTGCTCACCATAACGTTAGGAGTATGGATTTGATTATCTAAAGTAGAGTAGGCTATACTCCATTTTACAAACAAAGTGTCCCCATTGTACAAAGTGTCCAAAGCTAGCATAGGCTATGTATTTCAAATGGGATTTCCAGCGACACTATAGGCCTAATTTATCTTTAAAACATTAGAACTCGCAAAATATTTCTCTATTTTTTTCTGTTTTTACTTATTCGGCTGCACTTTACGTTACGTCCTACACTCATTCGAATGAAAATATCAATTAATATATCGATTATTCGATATTGATTAATCGATATATATCGTTTGGTTAGTTAACCTAACCTAAAAAACCAAACAATATATTGAATGAAACAATCGAACAATCGTTATTTTCATTCGAATGAGTGTAGGACGTAAAGTAAAGTGCAGCCACTTATTCTTGTAACAACTTCCTAAGATTAAGTTCTAGGCTATAAGTTAACAGTGTAGATTAAGTTTGATTTTAAGTTAAGGTACTAGACTTGAAAACTAAGGGGAATTCGATCAAAATCCAATAGGCTATCTTAAAATATGCGTACACTGAAGTTAATTTACAGAAATAAGCAACATAGCCTATAGCCTTACATACGATACGATGTACAGCCATCGGTGTTCGTGGTGTAGTGCATAGAGTGCTCGGCTGATAAGCAATAGGTTTGATGGGCAATAGGTTAATGGGTTTGACTCCCATCCGTAGCCTACCGGTAACTTTTACTTTTTGTCAAAGATTTAGATTTGAATGCCATTTCTTATAAACTGTGTCACATATTTTCTTAGAATTTTTTGCATTTAGGTCTATAATTTTATTTTATGAACAGAATTTAACCTTCATTCGATTTTTTCATTATCAGCATGTTTGGTTGGTTAGGAAGTTAGGTTATGACAGTAACTGACGGACGCCTAAACCGGACGCGTATCCTCTGCGATATTAAAAACCCGATAGCCTAATTTTTGTTTCTACGATTTTTTTATGGGATGGAATCGGATATCACAGTCCCTCCCAACAACTAGGACTAGGCCTACAACACTTACCTAAGTTAATTATTAATTTCATCTTTCTGGCCGTTGAGTTGATTGATCTCCTGTTTTATTTCTTTGATTACTTTGGCTAAGGCCTCTGGATGAACTCCATTTTCACACAATCTTACACAAAGTCCCAAACTCTTAGCATCTAGTCCAGTGTTAAGAATTTCTGAGATCTTATACAATGTTCTGAAAATCTCACTAACTTCATTATTTGCTCTCTCTTTTTCTTCAGAAACAGATTTGTCAGGCATTTCAAGTAGAACCTAAAACAAACCCGAATGTTATTGTAAGCGTACCAGTAATAATAACGATGGTATTTTACAAGTATCGTAGCCGAAATAAAACAAGATGTAAGTTAGAATACAGTACTAAGTTATGCTTACCTTGCTTACAAAACAACAAGTTACAATACAATTTTTCTCTATAGGTTAGGTATAAGTTAGAATTAACTTAATTGTTGTCTCGCCAAGAAAAATAATCACCGAGATAAATTACTTACTTGCACTAAAAATCTTTATGCCTAGGTAGATGTGATAATATAATAATGGTATGGTGGTACTATTTATTAACTTATTATGAATTTAGTTAAGTTCATTAATATGTTTATTATTTAGCTAGCGTATTAGTGGTGGTTAGGTAGGTGGGATAGATTAAATTATTGATTTTAGGTTATGTTTATATTTATGTTTGTTTGTTGAGCTACGCAACGCAGGGTCTGACTTAGGGGAGGTACGAATGAGGCATTAGTTCAAAATTCCTCCGTGAACAGCGCTGTAGTAGAGAGTACTTTGGCAAAGAAGGTTTACTAATCGCAAAAATAGTTCTGTTCATAAAATAAAATTATAAATGCCTCAAATTCAATTTTATTATTTTTTAATTATAAAATTAAACTATCATAACCTAACCGAACTAACCAAACTTGCTGATAATGAAATAATATAACAAAAGTTTATTAATAGAAAAAATAATTCTGTTTATTAAATAAAACTAGAAATTGCTCTATTAAAATTTTATAATGACTTAATAATAAAATTAAACTGTCATAACTGAACCAAACCAACCAAACTTGCTGATAATAAAAAAAATCTTGGACAAAAAGTTAATGCCACGAGCGGGATTTGAACCCGGGACCTTCAGCATATCAGCCCGGCACGCTAACCAATAGACCACCGAAGCCGATGTCAACTGATCGTTTTGTTACGGTAATGGCGTTCCCTCAGCTAATAAGAAGCCCACAGCTGTCATCGTAGCCTCTTCTATACCTCCCCTGAGTAAATACCCGCAACGCACCGGTGGGGCACGGGCCCACGGGAGGGACTAAGGCTAACATATCTTGTAGCATAGACTAACCAACGTATGTTTTATCTATGCCAACACGTAGTGTCAGCGTTCGCCGCTAGAACCGCTAAGTTGAAAAATTTTTAGTTATAAAATTAACTTTTTAATTATAAAATATTGTTTTAAAATTATAAAATAAATTTTTAATTTTTAAAATAAAACTGTCATAACATAACCTAACCAACCAGACTTGCTGATAATATAAAAACTGTATAAGATAAAAATCTAATTAATGATTACTTATAATTTTTAATTAATTATAAAATTAATTTTAAAATGTAGTATTATAAAATTAAACTGTCATAACCTAACCTAACCAACCAAACTTGCTGATATGAATATTTTTTGACAAAAAACTAGTGCTACCAGCGGGATTCGAACCCGGGACCTCCTGAACACCAAATCGAAACGCTACTAATTAATTATGCCACGAACGCCATAGCTTCGTTACGGTAATCGTGTTGCCTCAAGAGTAGACATTAGCCACGAGATATGACGTCACTACAACTTTAGCCTTAGTCCCTCCCGTGTGCCCATTCCCGCAACGCACTGGTATAATTATTTTATACCACCATAAAAAAGCAACGATTAAATACTTTGGATTTACTAAATTTCTATATATATATATGTATGAATGCAGAATGTTGAAATCGCAGACTTAATATTGTAGTAACTACTGAACTGCTAAGCCTGCCTACAGTATTTAAAAAATGCACTAGGCGTTGGCGTTAGCATTGAATACTTGCTATAATACATACTGTACCTCTATTAATCAAGATTTTTCCGTCTATAGCAAATAAATAGTTATTCATAGGCTTACACATAGAGTCTTGCCGTAAAAACTACAGTTTTGTTGCTCGCACTAAACTTGACTCTTAGCATTGACTATATACCTATAGGTATATATAGTCAATGCTCTTAGTCTACCTTATCCATATTATTAAATTAATAATTTGTTTTTATGAGCCTCTTTTGTAAACACGATTCCTCTTGTGCCAGCGCAAACTAGGCACCAGAAATAAAGTTGTAATTGTTGTAAACACGATTCCTCTTGTGCCAGCGCTAACTAGGCCTACATAATATCTGGTTGCTTCTGAACAGAAAACTATACAATATTTTATTTAACCGTTCTCTGAGAGTTTTGTTTTCGCTACTTTATTTATTGATATGTCTATTTATTGTTTTTATGAATTGTTATTATTATTATTTATTGGTTGTTATCTTGTCTTAGTAGTTAAATATTATGTAAATTGTGATGTTGTGTGTACCTACCAAGAAGATTGCATGGACTTTCTAAAATGGACTTAAAGATTAATGCTGCATTGTAATTGGGCTCTATGCCTGTAATGTAGTATTGTTATCTAAATAAATAAATAAATAATTCATAACAAAATTTATGGCAAACAACAAGCAATTCATTTCTTGGGGCAAAAGAGCAATTATTGATAGCAAGCAGCAAAAAGATTGAATCTTTAACAATAACTTGTCCTTTAGTTACATAACCAAACAGTAAAACTCAAATCATGACATTAACCGTAAATTAATAGAAACAAAATGTCTTCGTCCCTTCTAGCAGCCAGTGTCACCGGACATCAACTAGAACTAGACACAAAAAACGAGCTTCAAAATTTACAATGGGATGAGAAGTCGACTAGTGTTGGTTAGGTTAGTCTATGGTTTTACTAATTAAATATCCTCTTAATGGAGTCTTCCTAAAGTTTACGCTGATGATTTATCTTCTTGTACTTCAGCGTAGGACGCAAGTATATTCCCTTACCACTTTGTAGCATATTAATCCGGCAATTCTTTAGCAACTTAGGCAGGTCACATACAAGAGTATTTAATGATAGCAACTACTAAAAATAGATACGAGAATCAATTCTTACATTTGTAGTACTGTATACAAATAAAATAACCGAGACACGTAAAAAAAATGTTTTAGTTTCGACATATTAATGCAAAAGCATTTAACATACGAATTACTGTGCGATGTATTCAAAAAGTTTTTACAATAATTTAATCATACATTGTCATCATTTAACATAAACACACATTACTGGCATCTAGTCGCGAACGAAGGAGTTGTATAGCTGTAGTTGTACAATAATCCACCAGGGGCGTTAGCTGTAGTTTCGATCTTCCTTATCCTACATTGCCCTTTAAAAATATAGACATTTTTAATCATCAATCATTTTATTATTAGTTGAATACTATTACCCAAAAATGAAGGATATTATGTTTAATTTTCTTGTAATATTGAATTTGACATTTCACCTACCTTATCTCTGAAAATCTGGCAACCTAAAAGTTCTCAGA